AAAGAAAGAAAGAAAGAAAGAAAGAAAGAAAGAAAGAAAGAAAGAAAGAAAGAAAAATGTGCTGACTCTGCTATTGGAGCATAGTTGTCTTATCGTTGTAGATTTTATGGTGCAACCAAGCAGAGATTAGCCCGGCTGTGTGTTTACTTTAGGCTTTCTGTCTCTGCTGGATGCGCTCCCAAAAGACCTTTCAAAGGATTCAAAGAGCAAACGGCCTGGGGAGGAGAACTGCTCTTAAATCATTCAGCGTAAAGATGGGCAGAGTCGAGGTTTTGCCAGCGCCCGGGCTGGCCAAGTGGCTTGAGCAGTCCTGCTGCAAAACCCCAAGTGCTGGCGAATAGCCGCTCAGCCCAGCCATCAACAGCGACGCTGAATCTTAAACACCTTTTTAAAAAATCAAGGAAAAGCGTATTGGTTTGCATCTCTCGGTGGATCCAAGATGTTTAATGTCCGTAAAATACCTCCCTTCGCCCCCCCCCCCGCAATAGCCAATAAAAACTAAACAAAGACCATTATGTATAACTAAAAGTAGCCGTGGAACCCCTTTCTCTGGCTTGCCATTAAAAACCACATTAAAAGCAAATCAAAGACTTTCCCTCGTTAAACAAAGAATCAAGCCAGGGAAATAACAGAGGCAAACAGAACAAATGTTTGCAGGCTGCCCAACTTACAGCATAACCCTGAAGGACCCTGACAGGTGATCCCCATCTGCTTTTCATACATGCGAAGCCATTGCAGGAAAGTCTCAATTAAAAGCAGAACGGGACTATTTGTATTTCCATTAAAACATCTAATTGTGGGGCCAGGGAATTCTCCTGAAGCGTTTTGCCCCTAACAAACCTCATTCAGTTTTAGGAAGGCGAATTTGCTTTTGAAACATCTTTCAAAGGAGGAGTGAATCTGAATCTCCTAGAACTTCTCCTGGCTGGCACGGTGTGTTTATCCCACATGATGGCTATGTGCAAATCTCCTATTTTTCATGCACCATCCTCTCCCCAATGGCCTGTCAAGGGAGGTGAACAGGAGTAAACTGCTCCCAGATTTTTTTTTCCCCAAGGAGAGATCCTAAGATTATTCTAAGGGGGTCTCCTGCCCTTGAAAATGGGGAAAACATTTGCTCTCCCTGCAGAAATTCATCCACCCACTTTTTCTTTCCATTGATTGGATGGAGAGTTTTGAAAGTCTGTTTGACCATCTAAATCAGTGTTTCTCAACCTTGGCACCTTTAAGATATGTGGACTTCAAGATATGTGGACCTTTAAGATATGTGGACTTCAACTCCCAGAATTCC